TGTTACTGCCCAGACACTGGGCAGTATACAATTCTGTATTTTTTTCTGCTCTGTAAGTGTTTTTGAGTATGAGAGCACTAGTGGTGCATTCGGTGGGTGGATTTTGCCTGCCTAACCCTATGCTGTGGGTGTGCGTGTCCATATGTGCACATACCCCCTGTCACCCTCCAAAGAGCACATCTGAGCGGGCACCTGGATGTGCCAAAGGTCTGTGGGCTGAGCAGCATTTAGCAACCTGGTAAACAGCCATTGGAGGGCAGAAAGGGCAGGACCAGTTTTTTTCATGCTAAACTTGTTTTTTTCTTTTTTTCTAAAGATACTGATACAGCCTTTAAGCAGAGTCACTGTGTGCCTGTCAGCACTGTGTTGGGTAGAAGGCCTGTGAGTAAAATCTTGTGTTACTTAACAAAATGCTCAAAAGGGGGTGAGAGGCATTTACAGTAGTTTTTCTTTAAATGAACACATCATACAATTCGAGGCAGAGAGTAGATCTATAAAAGCATCATGGACTAAAAATAGTTCGGATAATCATTTTTATAATTAAACCTAATGGACCTTTCTGTGTAAGTTTGATAAGATGGCTTGTTAATATTCGCATATTTTTTTCTATTTAGTTGGTCAATTATGCATAAAGGACAAAACAGGAATAACTGCCCAGGCATTAGTGTCACTGGTGTCTGGATAGTTCTCATCTGCTGTTCTTTCAGGTTTTAAAGTGGGAGGCAAAACATTTGGGCTGATACTTGGGTTGACAAACATATATTCATCTATAATCTATAAATATTTTATAGAGAAGAATAAAAATACCTGTTTCCCAGCCTGTTTAATTCTGGTTGCATGCATTTCTCTTGGAAATGAGAGGAAGGAAATGGGGCAGGTGAGACGATGGTGATGGTGGGCTGAGGGATTGAGAGATGCAGTAGTGGAAAATCAACATGCTGTAGAGAAAAGTAGTGCTGGGGCAGGACATGCAGTGAAGATGTCACAGGGTTAAGGAAGCATTGGAGGTAAGAAAGAGGAGGGAGGGGAGAAAATGCTGACTTCATTCCATCTGTATCTTTAATGCCAACCAGCATTAGGAAATTTCAGGGAAATGAAGAAAACAACTGAATGCTTTTTTCATCTTGAGAGGAGGAGGCAAGGTGTTCCTCTTAATGTTGATTACTTTTACTCTGCTGTGTGGAAGAAACTGTGATAAACCTGTGTTCTTCCCACCCTGATAAACATTTGGTGTTGTGATAGGACTGAATTATAATTTGAAGAGGACACAGAATATGCCTTAGCAGTTAAATGAGGATAATTGGGTGAAATGAAGTTGTTCTGTTCTCATACAGATGTTTCTTCTCTGCATGTGGAAATTAACAAATGACTCATAAATTACTGTGGAATAATTGCATGGGACTTCATTCAGTAGCAATTAGGACAATGCCATGATGTCAGCCATAAAGGTTAAAAAACATCTTTTTTTAATTGGAATGAAGCCTAATTCCCATTCTAAGGACAAAAGCATTTTTTTTATTCTGGCCTCAGAAATGGATCTCTGGGATTTCATTCCTCAATAGGATTTTGATTGATTTTATTTTAGTAGTTTTATCTTATTTCATAATGTTTATATTAAATCAGATACCTCTGAGCACTTAATCATTTTTAGCTTCTAGATCTTTGTATTTAATATTATATTTGCTGTCAAAATGTAATATAAATAAGGGTCATAATAAAGGAAAGTCATTGATCAGGTGGAGCAAAATGCAGCAATGACAAGGAACCAAGAGCCTGATGCAGAAATCTGGGTGTAATAAAGAGGCACCTACTGACTTCCATGGGTTTTGGGTCAGCCCTCAAATGGAAACAGAACCCATCTCTGCTTGCCAGGAAGGTCAGCCGATGACCTGGAGTATGATAGTCATTAATCCAGTATAATGACTCTGTCCTTACTGAAAAATGGGGAGTAGTAAGTCAAATGGTAGGATGCTGCGCTCTGTTCAGAGCATGTAAAATGAAGGACTAACAGTGCGAATGAGGGACCTAGTTTGCACCAATGCATCCTTCAAGCAATATCTCTTCATATACTGCGAAGATATGAGCTCCAAAGATGCTGCCTGCGTTGGCTTTTGGGGCTGATTAGCTGGTTCTTGGCCCTTCCTTGCAGGCTGTAGCTGGAGAAGGACGTGAGGGATGGCAGTGCTGATGCTGCCCCAGATGCCTGGTCCATACAACACAGGCTCTGCAGTATGTGGAGTCCGAGGGCAGCTGATGACTGGGGAGACCTGGTTGCAAGCCATTTCTCAAGGATTGTTTCTATAGTTTATATTAAATAGTCATTAAATAAAATGCAGGAACAGAATACTTGACATGCCTTCATGCTGTCTCTTGGCTCGGGCCTTCTGTGCTAGTGTTGTAAAAAGGGAGAAGGAAGAACATGAAAATGAGTTGTTGCTTCCAGGTACTGATTCCAAGTTAACTACTGCCTCTTGGCTCGGGCCTTCTGGGCTAGTGTTGTAAAAAGGGAGAAGGAAACACATGAAAATGAGAGAGTTGTGGCTTCCAGGTACTGATTCCAAGTTAACTAGTAAACCAGAGCTTATTTTCAAGTAAGCCTATGTGGTCCTTAGAATGTGCAATTTGGATAATGATGCTGCAAGATAACACAAGCCTTGTTTAAAACAAGGAGCCAGTGTTATTGGTGTGTGTATTGTCTATGGACTTGGTCTGCTTTTCTAGATTCCCTAGTGGAGGAAAAGGGAGATCTCCAAAGCAACTTCCTTGATGAGTGTCAGTTGGGTCCAGAAGGTTAACACTCTCCTGACCTGTGCAAGGGTGGTGAAAAGATTACCATGGTCCTGCGAGAACAGCTGGCAGAGGTGGAGTCTTTGGACCTGCCCCTCAGCTGTGGAGGAAGCCAGGAAGCTCTTCCCTTGGGAACTGGCATCTTCATTATTGTGGCAGGAAGGTGCATCAGAGGTGGCAGCCTCTCAGGAGGTCATTGGCTGGACACACTCATTCCTCTTGGCTGAGCTAGTTCTCTGGTGTCATCTCATTTGTCTAATTATAGCCACCTATATCCTAGAGACTTTGGAAAAAAGGTCTGAAATCCAGATGTTCAAATATCTACCTTTTCTTTGCTTTCTTCCTCTCCTTTTTGAAGAGGTAATGAGGCTGAAGGGCTGTGGATGGTTGATTCAAGGGCAATGAGGAGGTATGAGCAGCCTACCTGGAGCCAGCAATGCAGCAGGACATCTCTAATGCCACTGCAAGAAGGTGAACATGAGCTAAATGGGACCTGCTGGCTAAAAGATGTTCTGGCATGGTTTTGTCACTGGTGGGTAGAGGAGGAATTGCTGCTTAGAGCTGATGTGGGAGGGAGCATGGTGATGTTCAGCTAAATTGGACTAGGTAGAAACTAGCATCATGCTGGCCTCTTGGCCAAAGTGTCTTCAAGTTTGTGTTAGCACTGATAAGGCTGTGATATTTAGGGTTTTATACTTGAGCATTGGCTGTTGTCCTCCCCGTGTGTATAAAGAAAGCTCTTGTTTGTGCCAACCCCTAGCAAACATCAACACTTGAGGTAGGGGAAAAAGCAATCTACGCTTAGGTATCTGACCCATTTGCTTTTGTTTTGTTATTGTGGTTTTAATCTTTGAAAATGCCTATAATTTGGAACAAAACTGCATATTGACTATTGAATCCCATTTTCTACCCCAATCTAGGTTAAATGGCAATGAATGTGTTCCTCAGCTGACTATAACCCATGTAATCATCTGTTCTCTCCACACAGCTTGTTTCAGAATAATCTCTAGTAAGCTATTGGTTTTAAGAAAAAGATACATTTTTAAGAAAGTGTCTATTAAGTTGACTTCCCCCTCAGAAAAGAGGGAAGAGCATCTTTTTCTATGACTATATTTCTTGTACTTTCATCTCTCACTGCTGTCCATTCCCTTACACTTCTGTTTCTCTTGTATATATTTTATCTTAAGTTATATGGAACAGAGCAGCCAAATCGGTGTAGCACCACATTTTTTTTTAAGTTCTGTTCCTTGCTATCTGAATAAATTTAGTGGAACTATACAGACAAGAAGGGAAAAATACCTAGGATTCATTTGCACCAAAGTGCTTTGGGATACTAAGAAGGTATAGAGTACTTCATAGTCTAACTGTCCAGTTCCTTGAATTAGGGAGAACACTAAGCACCCAAGTGAGCCTTTCAGCTTCTGCCAGCAACAGTATTTATTTTTTTGCCCTAAACTCAATTTTGATCTAAAGTACAGAGTATAAATTATATTTTTTCTTTGCCAATGGATCTGTAAAGCCAGCTGCACCAATGCTGTCTTGAACACAATGGTGTCTCCAAACAGTGTAGCTATAGAAATATTTCTTTTATAAAGATCAATGAGCTTGTAGATCTTGCACTTGCAGTTTGGGGTATTCTTTAGAAAACAGTGTCACATCTGTAGCTTGACTTATGCCTCTCCCCTTTCCCTGGACAAGTGAAGCAAAAAAAAAAAAAAATGGTATGTGGTATAGCAGAACAAAATATTATTTTAAGGCCCTGGTCTTGAAAGCCTTGTGTCTAACCCTACCCTGCCTGCCATCTATATACTCCTTGCTCTGCCCCTTGTACAGAACACCCCGTCCTGTTTGGTAAGGAAAGAATAGCTGAAAGAAGCTTGAAAAGAGAACAGCCTTGCGTCTAGGCAAGGCAAAAACAGCAATCTGTGTTGCCTTGGAAATACCTCAATTGATTAGTTTTACCACTCTATTCAAATACTTCCCTTTTTAAAGCTTTTTGTCTTGAGCGATGCAGCTTTAGTGGCTGCCCCTGAGCAGCTGGTGACGGTGCATACAGTAAAACTGAAACGTCTCCTTTCAAGGTGCAGTTGAATGACCTGAACATGGATCCCTGTCCTGCCCTGGTGTCACCAGCAGCGGTTCTGGAGCGGATGGCCTCGCAGCTCGGGTGCAGCCCTGCGGACGCGCGGCTCGCCTGGCACCTGGATGAACACGATGCCTTGAAACACCTCCGCAGCTGTTTCCATATCCCCAAAGTCAAGGATCTGCCTCCAAGTGAGAATTAGAATTGTGGGGAAGGTGGCATGTAGTGGGGAGGTTTGCATCTTCTGCATGTGTTTATCACAAATCTTTGGAAATCACTGTCACTTACACAATAATTGAGCAATTGCAGTCATATCAGAGCACAGTGTGTCCCCAGTGTTGCTAAATCCATCAGCTTATTCCAGCACCAAAAGCTTCATGCTCTCATTCCATAAATGTGTGGGTACTGAGCTTTATGTAGTGCTTATGCTGTCAGTCAGCTGCTTTGAACAATATAGTGACTGATTGGAAGTTATAGGCAAAAGTGTTTCTATCTAATGGTTCAAAACTGCAGTGTCGCTAGGAACTTAGTCTGGAATAGTTGCTTCTTCAATATAATATAGTTTGGTATGATCTATCTAGTTACAATTATTTTAGTTAATGAAAGAGAAGGCAGATATATTGTATTAACTTTTATGTCTTATTGCTAGGCGTAGAAATGACTTTCTTCCTGAGGTCTAATGGAAGACTCTGCCTTAGAACAAATAATTGAGCTGAGCAAATAATTCTTAATGAAACTGTTATTTGAAGATTTTCCTCCCCACCCCCTACTTTTCTCATGAATTTCCTGTGAATAGATAACTCCATATGACTTAAATGCAGCTATGCAGAAGTGACACTAAGATTTTTCTGCCTTGCTCCTGGTCTGCAGCTTTTTTTGAAGAGCTTGTGGCTGGCCTGGGTATGGGCACAAGGGTGCATCTGATCTAGGGATTGATCCTTTCTGGTTTGGTTAAACACCTTCCCTGCAATATGCAGGGAGCAGGGTCCAAAAACTGGGGCTGTGCCAAGGGCCCTGATCCTGGTGCTGGAATCTGGAGGAGTCTCATGCTACTTCCTCTGGTGAATCAGTGCATGTGTAGTCAGTCTCCTGCTTTCTCTCCCATCTCCTAAAAATTAACGGGGGGGAAAAATAACTTCTCTCTGCAAAATATTTTCATTTCCTAGTAGCTGTAGGAGTGACTTTCTGCAGGTTTTTCTGAAAAGGGAAATAGTGATGGAGCATTGGAACTGCAGTTGAGGTGACTAAATTGTTTGAAGATCCACTATAGAACAATCACAACTGCCCGAATTCCTGGATTCTTTTAGAAGTACCTTTACTTTGGCTCTCTTCCTCCTTAGCAGTGAAGAATGCTGGTATATAGGATATTGAGATGGTAAATCTTGGCCTGTCTTGGCCAGCAGTATGTCACTGTGCACCTATATGTGTAATTTTTCCTTTTTTGATACTCTTGTGACTGTATCCATTGCATCCTTTCCACCCTCCATTTTATTTTTGTTCTTCACTTGCTGCAGTGTTCAGAGCCAAAGTCTATGGAAGGTTTTCTTTTTCAGAGACTATAATATATCCACAGCCCTTAGGGTCTAAATATATGTTTTAGTGAAGATAAGCAACCCACATAATAGTACAGGTTGGACAGGGTAGAGAATACTTTATTTTTCTCAAATTGAGGGGCTTTGCTTTCTTTCTGCCTTTTCCCTTGCCTTTCTTTTCTTTGCTTCAACTGTCATCAGAAACAGCTTCCCTGCTGAAAAACAGCAGGGGTAAATACATATATATTTACATTGTGTGTACTGTAGAGGCCCGTCTCCCATGACATTTATCTTAGCACAGGAGCGGATCCTAGATAACATGCTTCTGAAGATAAATGTCATTACAGAGATTAGCCATCAAATATTCTTTATATATTTACATAAAACATTACAATGAGGTCTTAAAGTGTAGCCTTACATGAAGCAGATGTGAACACTCGTAGGAGACAAGTATAAGATTATGCACATAAAAATATATTTTTTAAATTGTATTAGTTTGGCTATCAACTTACAAACTGTACCAGCTGTTTATGAAGTTTTTGTTGCATCAGTCAAGTGGAAGCCTTGAGCACACTAATTCTGTGGCAGGTTTTCCTGTGATGCTGTGGGCGAGCATGAGGGATGAGCTCAGGTGAGCAAGGGCAAGGATGGCAGTCAAAGCCTTGGAGAAATGTTCAGGTTGCCTCATTCCCCTCAGAACTACCAATAAAGTGGTTTTAATGATGTTTCTTTCTGCGGAGGTTGAGTTGGAGTTAGGAGTGCCTGGGTGGCAGCTGGGTTCCAAATGACCAAACTAAGGTTCTTGCTTGTTTTTCACTCTCTAAAGGAATAGGGCATTATCTGGGATTCTCTGGAACAAAGAAATGTCCCAGAGTGAAGTGTTGAACTCTATTTCCTTGAAGAAATGGTTAAAGGTCATATTAAAGGCTGGTGCTTTGTGGGGGACATGGATGGAATCTTCTATCCTTCAAGTAACCAGGGTGCAGGTAATATATAAGCAGATACAGGCCCTGCCCTTTTGGATTGAATGGTTTTGAAAGAAAAGTTCTTTTTGAGGTTTAAGATGCCTTGAAGCACACACAGAGCACTAGGTATATTAGTATGCCAAATAATAGATGTTACTAAACTTGACCAGTTGGCATGTAAAATATTTTGTTTGCTTTATACTTGGGCTGCTTTAAAGGCACATTGCAATAATTACCTTTTCTTACTATACTGCACTAGCCTTTGCTTTATCAGCTGTGCTTATTTCCTCCTGGTTGTGAATGTCTCAATATATGCTCCTTGTCGCCTTTACCACTTCCAGAAATAGGAAGGGCCAATACTATGAGAAATGAAGGTAGAGTAATTTGTGGAGAGATGTGTGGTAGTTTGAGAATATTAATGCCTGACTGTAAGGAATCTAACAAAGACAGCGGAAATGTTAGAGCATAACATCCTCATCTGGAGGAGCCGTGAAATGATGAAAATGGCACCATAAAATGAGTGTAGTTTGAGAAGCAGCAGTGGTCCAGAATGAGTCTTTTAATGATGTCAGAGAAAGGAAGTAAACAGCATTTTGTGAAAAGAAAGAGTAATGTCCTCCTGCTCCTTCAGCCCCTAAGAAAATATTCAAAATAATAGATGTAAAAGTAGAAAAACACATTTTATCAATGAGGTAATGCTGGCTCTCTGCAGCAGTGACCCAATAGGCATTTTTATTTAGAGGGGGCTGTGGCAAAAAAGCTAATTTGCTTATAATTCATTACCTGTTTCAATGCTTGATTGGAATTTAAAGAGTATTAGTGAGATTTAAAGCTCTGAATTCTTGAGCAAAGACCCTTCTCTGCATTCTCAGTGTGACACCATTATTGTCTGTCTTGATAGCAAAAGAGCTGTTAATAGAACCAATTTAGGAGCATGGATAATATTTATACCTTTCTGTTTTCATTCATATTAAGAATAGAGATGAAAAACAGACATGGTATCTCTCAAAGAGATTAGACTGAAATTGCTCTCTGACTTATGCTTTCTAAAAGCTTCTAAAGCTTTAATTAAGAAATTACCTAAGTTGTCTATACTTCTGAAAAATGAGTTTCTGGTGAAGTTCAATGAAGTTAGTAATTGTTAGTGTTAAAGGTAATAGGGGATCTTTTCCAGGCACCTAATCTATTTTTCTCCAGCCAAAACTCAAAGAAATTGCAGTCTTATAATTTTTCTGGCATGTATCTTAACACATTCATTTGCTCCTTCTGTTGAGGTGTTAGTGTTCACCAAAAATACACAATGTTAAGTTTAGGTATAAATGAATGCAGATTGCTTACTACCTCTAGAAAGTCATCACTTTGTCCTTCCCAGGATCTCTGATATGAAAAATCATAGAAAAATGCAATATTTGTATCGATAGATGATGACATGGGTAATTAGATTGTTCAGAGCCCTCACTAGAGCTATTATTTCTAAGTTTCTAGTGCCTTGCTTTTCTCCTAATCATTGAAAGAATTTGTCAACATAGATTTCCTCCTCCTCATCATGGATGATGACATGATGTGCAGCCCACATTATATGCTGATGAGACAAGAACTTTTGAGACTTTCTTAAAATATTCTGTGCAATGCCCATGTTTTTTCTAAGCAGTGATTTAATCAGGCAGGTAGAACCTAGATGAAAGACAGATTTACCTGGTCTTAACTTTTATTAAATGTGTGGTTCCAGTAGTTGCATGACTCAGAGTATGAGTATACTGATATTGGAGGAAAAGTAGATAGGCTGGTCTGGAATATGCCTCCTCTTCACTTGTCCTTGGGGCCAAATTGGTGGCTGCTCTGTTATAGCTCCAGGGTTTAATACTGTCTGAAGCATGAGCTCTAAACAGATGCAGATGGCCTTGCCACAGATGGCAAGAGGACATGGTGAAAATCCCTTGCAAATTACCTCAATTGTCCTTGCCCAAGGCCTTGATGAGGGTCACCTGTATGATGTCCCAGGAGGGAAGTGAGGATGTTGCATCCTCAATATGCACGGTGGACCTTTTTGTGGATGACTCTTCCTTGTCTCTCCTGCATACATTCACACCTGTGTCTGGTTTTCCTCTGCAGCGGATCTGAGCCTGGTGAATGGCGATGAGAGCTGCGTGTACTTTGCTGGGAATTCTCTTGGGCTCGAGCCAACAAAAGTCAAAACTTACTTGGATGAAGAGCTGGACATGTGGGCTAGAACGTGAGTATGTTTTGGGACATGCAGAACACTAACCACCCATGCACCAGATGAGCCCTGTAGCATATTTGGATCTGCCTTGCAAGTGTTCTAATAGAATAGTGCCTTAAATCTGCTCCAAGCTGGGAGTAATGAGTTCAGCATTTCCCCAGCCCTATCTAAACCCCTGGTAGTGAAGTGAGCAGTAAGGCAGGCAAGGAGAAGCTCCTGGCTGGGCTGATCCACTTAGTGCTGGCCCTTCTCACTGACCTGCTTGGCTTGACCATCCCTGTTCAGGTGTGTTTTGTACACAGGGCACAAACTCTTCTAGTCACTGCTGCTCGCTGAATGTGGCTCAACCTCAGCCTCTGATTTTTCTAATTACGATTTTTAACTGCTTGAGGTTCATCCCCACTGTCCTTAGAGCAGGCAAGTTTCCCTCCTAAAGGCACTGAGCACAAATGGTGATGCTGCTTCTTGGCTTCTCTTAACCCAGGTCCATGCCTGATGGACTCATCCCATTTGGAAAGTAACATTCCTGTCTTAGGGAGCTGAGCAGGGATTGCAAAAAGCCCTGAAAGAAACTGGCATAAAAAAATAAGGCAAAGAGCTGGTTAAAACACTATTAAAACACTGATGTTTAAGTGTTTTTGTTGAGGTGCCCAGCACCCACCTGAGCAGCTGGAGCAGGCAGGAGAAAGAAAAGATGGGCAAAAATCAAGTGGCTGAAGGCAGGAAAGACAAGTAACATCTAGCTGAATGAGTGAGCTGGGAAAAGAGATGAACAGTTTTACTAGGTATGGGATACAAGTGGAGCAGATGTGATTTTTATGGTGAACGAGCAGAGGAAATATAGGGAGGTAGAAGAGGATAAGATAATCCTGCTAACAGGGACATCCTGAGCAGAGAGCCTGTAGATAAAGGTTTCACAGTGCAAATGTGAAAATTCAGAGGCTGCCATTTTACTGAGTGCTGTGGGTTAATAAAAACTGTTTACTGTCTCTCATTTATTATTTATGTTCTTGGAATTGGGGAGGGAACTGGGAATGAAGGAGAATGAATGTGAACTTGGGGAAGCGCTCTTGCCTCCTGGTTATTCATTGAGCACATTTTGGCAGTTTCTCCAGTCATTTGAAAAAAAAATGCAGCCTTGCCCATTTCTGGATGATTATCATGCTTTATCAGGGAAACAGCTGAGTTCTTTCAAAAGGTAAGTCAGATAGCACTCTTATCTGCTAAAATGATGTGCTGGGAGTGCAAATATATTTCAGCTCTTTTGCTATAGCTTTTTATTGGTTCCCTTCCATTCTTACATCTGCCTTTACCACAATGCAGGTTTTTTATTTTACTTTTTTTTTTTCCTGACTCAATGCTTATAAAAATTCCAAAGAAAAGGGGAGGCAACATGTTTATCCAGAAGATTCAAAGTGTCTTCAGTAACTGTATTTAAGAGGAAAATGTGGTTACGTCATGATTTCAAACAAGTGGAACAGGAGGAGACAACTTAGGCTGTTTGTCAAAAATGCAGCTTGACTCAAACTTTTTGGGAGTACATGAGAAAATTAGTGTTCATGTGTGAATCATACTAGCTGAAGAAACACCTAAGGCACAATGGGGAATGTCAGGGCAAGGTCAAGCTACATTTGAACAGAGCAATTTGTGCTTTAAAAAAAAAAAGCCAGTGTTGGGGTAGGATGCTGGGAACCACACAGGAATGGGCAGCTGAGGATGAACAAAATGGGTGTCTATGTCTGTCACCAAGGACAGACAAACAAACTCCAGTCAAATATAATAGCAGCTACAGCTGAAGCCTGCTCAGCAGCTCATGTGCCAGCAGCATGGAGCTCCAAAGCTGTGGCTTAGATGAATAAATAGCAGGAATCTAAGAAATGGCATATAAATTAGATGCATCTTTCAAGTCAGCGATGATATAGATTCTGGCTTTCTTATAAATTGGTTTATCGTGTTTTCTGTTTGTCTTGGGACTCATCTCAAATAGCTGCTGCGCTGGTTTGTTTAAACTGTTCTTGCTCCTTGTAGTTGATGGGCAAGAATGAAAGGGTAGGTTGCCTGATGTCTGCTATCAAGGGCAAGGAAGCATGAATCGTTAACTGTGCGGTGATTGCAGTACCTCATTAGTGTAAGACCCGAACAGAAAGAGGCCTTTTTCCCCACTTTCTCTTGTTATTCTTCCATGTCTTCTCCCCTTTGACTGGGGAAGTTGCACTTTGATTAGCTCTAATTCCCTGTATGTGCCCATTTTTGCTCTTCTCTTTCCATATTCTTAGGTCCTCTTTTATGTTAAACTATAAAGCTTTAAATTTCAGTCTGTGGTTACTTTTAGAATAGATTTAAAAGTATTTGATATTTCATTTTTTCCTTCCCTGTTTTGGGGATTAGAATTGGATTAGAGCTCAATCCAAAATTAATTGAAGTGAGGAGATGAATAAAAGAGATGGAGGTGTCTTCATGCATGGTCTAGAGTAGCCAACAGACCTCTTGCTTGAGATGTAGCAGTTCCAGGGACTCATCAGGCTGGATAAGGTCAGTAGATATTCTGTGACATATATTTCCCTTCACCCTCCAGAACTGCTTATGCAACTAATGTATTTTATAAAATACTTGTTGAATATGAATATATAACTTTTAGTAGGCAAGGACTTATGTTCAAATTAATTATGAAAGTTGAAATGTTAAAATAAAAGAAATTTTGTTGTAGCCCAGTCATCCTTTATTGAAGGGCTAGCAGGATCCTCAAGGAAGGGGAGAAACTTTTGTATGGAGGTCTTGGGAGTTAGAGCTTAGTTTAGCAAAATGAAGGGAAGAGCTAAAAATGATTCCTCCATAGCTCCATGTGAATGTGCCATGGATAAGTCTAGTGTGGGTGGGGAGTAAAGGAACCATTTATGTGAAATAACATGTTGACACTAAATGTAAACAGGGAATTAATGAATTTAGGCTGGAAAACAAACACCATGTTAATGCTCATGAGTATAATCTTGCAACAAGAATCTTCTGAAATGCGTATAGTACAGAAGTCCAAGTCTTTAACAAGCTCAGCTAACACCTGCAATAGTGAAGGGTTGTTATTAGTGAGTCCAAAGTTATCTCTGGTTAATCCTGGGGGAGGTATCAGCCCTGCAAACAAGAGTGCAGCCCAGCAGGGCTTCATCAGGTCTGTCTGACAAATCCACTTTGTTTTGCAAGTCTCATCTCTCCATTCAACCTCTCCCAGCAAGTTAAGCTTTAAACTGCAAATGCCTGTTCTAATGCCCCAGTTTTTGTTCGTTTTCCCTTCATCCTACTGCTCCATGCAGTTCTTTGCCTTGGATGTCTTCTTTTCTTTTGGTTATTTCTTTGCTTTGAAACCATAACCAAAGTTAGTCTGCATTGGCTCATTAAATAGCTTGCATCCTCTTTGGCAATGAAGCAGGAAGGAAATTTCCACTTAAATGAGGTTTGGAGGAGCACAGAAGATTCCTGAAGCGGGCAATTAATTTAAATCCCTTTTGTTATCTCTTTTGAAACCCTGGGATCATATCGGAAAATGCCTCTAGTTCCTCTAGTGAGTTCTAAATCAACTAGACCTCAGCACATAAATGTGGCCTTCCAATTTCTTGCCAAATTGAAAATAAAATAACTGACAAAAAATAATTTGCGTGAGGGGAGACTCTCTCAATAGTTAAAATTTTGGGTTATATGGTGCTTCCTGGCTTGATGAACCGCACTTTGTGTTCATTAATTGGGGTTACCTCCATTTAATTGGGTACCTCTTGTGACCTGGGGTGTAGTGGAAACAAATTAACAGTCGAATACCTGAGGGGGTCTCAGTGGATCACCAGAAGTGCTGTGGTTGTGTCCTTAAAGATTATTACCCTCAGTGTCTACCAGAGCTGAGGGAGAGGGGTGGCATAATATACAGAGATATAAATTCTCCAAGGCAGAGCATAGAATTTTACAACCTAAGAGTAATAGGATGTATTGTGCCATCAGCAAAGGCTACAGAGTTTCATGTGATTAAAATAAAAAAGATACAAGACTATGCCTTTAACGGCCATTTTAGCAGCAATAATTTTTGTCTCTTGGCATTTATATTGGCCATCAAGAGGGAGGCAAGCTGTAAGCTGTGCTGTAATAATAATAATAATATGAATAATAATTAATGTTCTTTCTATCTTAAAGTATACTTAAAACTTTTGTGTTGTCTTCTCAAAATAAAATACTCATGCCTGAAATATCGTATCAGTTTTCATGATAACTTGGAAATTTATTCCAAAATTTAGTCTTGTGTGCTGGAATAGAGAGCTTCCATCAGTAAATTCCCATTAGAAGGACACTAATAGCTATAAAATCAGAGAAAGCTAATGAAAGAGGATCTTGTAGGTAGTTAGGGCTTTTTTCCTGTCTTATGTCAGTATCGTGTTTCAGAAATGCAGATCCCTTTGGGCTGAGAGCCATTGGAAACCTTTGGATTTTTTCAGCTGTCAGTACTACCCCAAACTCCCTTCATTGCTATATTGCAGTCAAGAAATCCCTTTCTTGATATAGCAGCAATGTCTTGCTGTTTGTGCAACTTTCCACTGCCATTTAGTGTGCTGTGACTTGACCTAACTTAGGGGCCCTAGAGCTGGGTTAGACTTGCTCATCATACTGTAGTGGTATTTTATCAGGCGGTCAGCTCTACCTGTGCCTTCCTGCAACTGTTGGTCTGAACAGTTGCAAAAATAAATGGTATTTTCCAAGCATAGAAAGAATGAGATAGTTAATGCAAACTGTGTGTATTTCTAAACACTCCTGGGAGGCTCAAGGTAGACCCAATGAGAAAGGGTTGGCCAGAAAACATCCACCTAACTTCTGCAGGAGGCAGGGCAATGGAATAAAATCCTGCTGGAGAAGGATAAGTCTGAGGCAGATAGGGAAAAGTAATGTGTTTCAATAGGCTTAAGCACAGGGGACTCTTCAAAGCTGGTAGCTGCCTCCTACACCCTGATCTCATGTCTCAACCTGCCAGCAGTCCTCGTGAACCTGTATGAATGCTGTGGGCTTGTTCCTCCTTGAAAGGTTTATTCTTTAATTTTTATTTTTTCTCTCACATCACAGCTTCTATGTGAGGTTCTTTTTGTTTTGCTTTTTACTCCCTGACCCCTCCTGCTGCCTTGGTCCCTTTTCTGGCACAGCCTCCTGCCACTCGCAGCCCAAGTACCCTGTGGTGCTCCGCAAACAGGAAAATCACCTAGTGTGAGGTGGAGGCCCAGAGCAATGGGTTAGCACCTTTCTTCTTCATCACTTGTGTTTATTTGCATTTAAATCTGTGTCCTACTGCCTGTGTGCTTAATAAGCTTTGCAACATCTTTATATGTGTGATGTGGCTACCACAGAATAATCCTCTGTCTTACTTGAAGCAAAAATGAGTTCAAGACAGTTGGTCCAGGAGTGCATGTGTGTATCTGTCACTTCAGAGTTAATAAAGCTTTCAGGTTTAAGGTGCTGGTTGGAGCATTCCAGAGGGGTATGGGGAAGTAAAAGATGGCTTGCATAGCTTTTAAGCAATTCCTGTCCGAGGAACCTGTGGTTGGTTGTCATTAGCTCCTTACTTGTGAGCCTCAGAGGTGCACTAAAAATAAAGTATTTGGATTATTGGAGTCTTCTGCCCTTCCCCTTCTTCAGCCATTGGATCCCTGGATCAACACCATCCTGGGGACTGATGCAAGGGGAGTGCCTGTGTTTTCATCTCCTGTTTCTTTTCCGATTTTTAGAGGTGTTCATGGCCACTTCCACGGGCGCCGGCCGTGGGCTCTGGCAGACGAGTGCATTGTGGACCCGATGGCCGAGCTTGTGGGTAGGTGCAACGCTTCCTCTAGGTACACAAATGTCCTCAGGCTCTTCTATGGCTGGAAGTCCTTGAACTCTGTCTCCAGAATAAAATCATGGAATTTGGATGTGATTTCCTGTGTCCTTGTGTTTGAAGGGAGTTTTTCTGACTGCCTGTTACATGGAGTAAAATTTTATTTAAAGGCCGGAAGTGATTTAAAAGAGAAATGTAGGCAGTAATATATGAGCCTATGCATATCATGAAACTAATTGCAGCAAAGGGTTTCTTGGAGCATCGTAAACCACTTGGTCTAACATGAGAAGCCCTTTTAAAGGGCAGCTGGCATCAGAGTCCCTGTCTCTTTCCTAAAAGTGAGCCAATGAACTTTCCCTTTTGAAAAATGACTTCTTA